CAATTTTTCGTATAATCAGGGGCCATAATCCAGGAAGTTACAATACAAAATGCGAGATCTTTGGGTTATAAACATACATTTCAAGTTTAATCAAAATCAGATAAAATTGTGACCTCTAAGAGTCCACAAGCTAAAAACATGATTTTTTCGTACAATCAGGGGCCATAATCCAAGAAGTTACGGTCCAATACATGCAAAGTTACAGTCCGAAATGTGCGAATATCAAAAGGAATTGAGATCTTTTGGAGATAAACCTATATTTCAAGTTTCGACAAAACCAGATAAAATAAATTGTGACCTGTAGCTCGAGTGTCCAGAAACAAATTGTGGACAGGCGGACGGACCGAGACGATAATGTCCACATGAAAATGTGGGCGTATAAAAATGTTGTATTATAAATACAAGCCAACAGTGAGGCTGATGTCCCCCGCCGAAATAGGAAAATAATTAGAGGACACATATAAATTTATCACAAATTATCTTTTACAAAGTATTGAACAATCAAACAGTATTTCTTTACTTATAGTCTAACAATCAAAGTAGGAGAGTTATTGTTTTCCAAAGTCTCGACCAATCAAATTGCGTATCGCTCTGCTTACCCTGAGCAGAAAATGCTCATTATCAAACTTAGTCAAGGTATTACTGTAATGAAACTATACACCAAGTTTCATCAATCTCACTTAATTAGAACTAAAGTTATCGTGTCCCAAAGCATCAACCAATCAAATTGCTTATCTCTGCTTACCCTAAGCGGAAAATGCTCATCTTCGAACTCCATCAAGGCATTGACCTAATCAACACATACACCAAGTTTGAACATTCTAGCTCAATTAGGAAGAGAGTTATCGTGCCCCAAAGTATCAACCAATCAAATTGCTGCTTACCCTGAGCAGAAAATGCTCATTATCAAACTTAGTCAAGGTATTACTGTAATGAAACTATACACCAAGTTTCATCAATCTCACTTAATTAGAACTAAAGTTATCGTGTCCCAAAGCATCAACCAATCAAATTGCTTATCTCTGCTTACCCTAAGCGGAAAATGCTCATCTTCGAACTCCATCAAGGCATTGACCTAATCAACACATACACCAAGTTTGAACATTCTAGCTCAATTAGGAAGAGAGTTATCGTGCCCCAAAGTATCAACCAATCAAATTGCTTATCTCTGCTTACCCTAAGCGGAAAATGCTCATCTTCGAACTCCATCAAGGCATTGACCTAATAAACACATACACCAAGTTTGAACATTCTAGCTCAATTAAAAGTTATCGTGTCCCAAAGCATCAACCAATCAAATTGCTTATCTCTGCTTACCCTAAGCGGAAAATGCTCATCTTCGAACTCCATCAAGGCATTGACCTAATCAACACATACACCAAGTTTGAACATTCTAGCCCAATTAGGAAGAGAGTTATCGTGTCCCAAAGCATCAACCAATCAAATTGCTTATCTCTGCTTACCCTAAGCGGAAAATGCTCATCTTCGAACTCCATCAAGGCATTGACCTAATAAACACATACACCAAGTTTGAACATTCTAGCTCAATTAGGAAGAGAGTTATTGTGTCCCAAAAAGTGTGACGGACAGACAGACAGACGGACAGACAGACGGACGGACAGACAGACGGACGAACCCATTTTAATAGTCCCCTGCTTTCTTCGAAAGGCGGGGGACAAATATAGCAAACTAATAAGAGGAAAATGATATAGCTGTTACAGTGTTAGCAAACTACATGTGTTGCATATGCATTTGATCTTCTGAGTGAGAGAGAGAGAGAGAGAAATGGAGTTTAACGTCCACTCAACACAAACTAGGTAATTTTGGGACTAACACATGGTCTAATTTTATTTCAATAATTTGCTTGTGCGTAGGGGTCTTGAGCGGTGGGAGGAAATGGGAGGACCCGGAGAAAACCCACAAGGGTGGACAGGTGACCCTACTCCTTGTCATGTGCAACCGGAGAATCGAAACCACACCAATTGACTCAATGACACACCTTATGATACAGCGCGCATGTGATAACCATTTGGCCATCCAACCCCCTGCGTTTGATCTTTAATCTAGATAGCAGTAGGTTAGGCTATATATAACAGTCAATGTCTTGTGTTTTTAATTCATTTGCAATATGCAGGCGTCTTGAGTACTGATACTTAAAAGAAGAGATAACTATATCTTCCATTATACAAGTACCTATATCATAGGTAGTAAAGAGTATATTGCACAAACATTCCTGATATGAAAACTACAATGTTGTACTTGTTGTAGCCTACAACTCTCAAATTAAAAACATTTAACTAATTTTAACTGTAGGCTATCTAAAAGTATCTACAATCTACATGTAGCTGGCTATTGCAGATTGGCACTTTGGACTTGGTGTGCACGTATAATATAAGAACCCTGTGTAGTTGGAAATCAAAATACGAGTAGTCTGGGAAAAATTTCACTCAAGTTTGATTTTTATTTTAGCACATGCCTTATAATACTTTTTCAATCTGTAATCTGGTCCGTTCTTCAACTCTTGTCAAACAGGTCTCAAACAAACCGGTAACTCACTCTGAATATAACGGTAGATAAAGCTTGTATAAAAGTTTTAAAAACAGAAACATGCACGTACTTTTCTGGTCATAAATCAATACGTGTCAGTGCAGTCGTTACCTGTTGGGCGTGTCCAGTAGTAATTGTTGAGAGTCGGGCAGGTAACCTCACCTGCCGAAATGGAATGTTTGCAAACACGGAACTGCTTTGCGGATTGACTACTGGATTACGAACGGTTTTGTGGCCATTAATATAATACCATGATTTCATTTTCTCCAAATGCCATAAGAGATTTATTTGATGGGTATGGGTAGCCTAACCAAAAGGTATTAAATTGTGTGGCAATTTAATGCTTTTTCTGTGATGGCAAAAACTTTGTGCACTCATGCACAAAATAGGCCTAGGTACCAAGTATATTTTTAGCTTTCATCTTTCATTACTGTACTTACTGAATACTGTATTGAACATTATATGCCTACCCCAGTCCCCTTTACTTGCATATAAATGTCAGGGCCAAAGTGGTTTTTTTTGTTATTTTTTTTAAAAATAAGGTCACACTCAAATGAAATTTTTAGACAGCACACTCACATTTATAAATTTTAGTTTTTCAGAATATTCCCTGAAACCACTTTTCCATCTAGAAATTAACATATATTTTAAGCATTTCGGGCCCACCCAATCATCTATTATTTATTTTCAATAGAATGCACCAAATGGGTCAGTTTGGAATTTTTTGGTATTCACCCAATCTGATTAAAGAATGAGATAGAGAGAAAAGGGGTTAAAATTCCACTCACACAAACTAAGTCATTTCGGAACTAACACATGGTTCAATTTTATTTCAATAATTTGCTTGCTCGTATGGGTCTTTAGCAGAGGGAGGAAACCGGAGGACCCAGAGAGAACCCACGAGGTTGGACAGGCGACCCTACTCCTTGTCATGTACTACCGGGGAATCGAAACCACACCAGTTGACTCAGTGACAGACCTTATGATACAGCGACCACATGCTAACCATTCGGCCATCCAACCCGGCCCAATCTGATTAAAGATCCTATTTCGTTTCATTTTTTCTATATGTAGTTCAAAATTTCATTTTATTTGTCTGTACTGAACTAGGATCTGGAAGAGTTGTTATAAAACCCCCCAATCTGATTAAAACACAAATCCTATTTCGTTTTATTTTTTCTAGTTCAAAATGTCATTTATTTGTCTGTAGGCCTACTACACTAGGATCTGGAAAAGTTGTTATTATAACTTGCATTCTTGATGGTGTGAGGGATATAGCCAATGAAACCATCTGTTATGGCGACTTTTTGGCATGTGATGCACGGAACTGTGGGTAAACCACTAGAAAAGTCAAGGCTGATTGATTAATCAATGTCTGACGTCATAGGTTCAAAAGCCGTAGAATGTATACCTACTCATGGTTCATCCACATTGATCAATATGGGGTCTTCAGAGTATGCTCCCACCTGACCTCCTTATAGATAGAGATCTGTTAGAATGTGCACCCACCCGCACAAAGACATAGAAAAAGACGTGGAACCCAACCCTCCTGCAGTAAGGTGGATTTTTATACAAATTGAACTCTATCCCAATCACATTCATCATTAAATTTTCACCAACTCTCAACATATGGTTATTAAATTTAGCAGTGGGAGGAAACCGGAGGACCCGAAGAAAACCCTCGAGGTTGGACAGATGACCCCCAGAGACTCGTTTAACATGGTGACTAGGCCGCGCCGCCGCTGCGCACTGGCCAAACTGTGCAGCCTACTGAGCCCAAAAGTTGAAGACTGGGCGGCAACATACATACGTTTTGAAAATCGCTGACAAGGTTTTTCCAATGTGCCAATACTATATCATGGTGCGTAGGTTTACAAAATCGTATATTTCTGTTTGCGGGTCAGCCGCAGCAGTGTTTTGATCTCAAATCTCCGAAACTATTTTTTAAGTGCTCAGAAATAGAGTCTAAGGGAGTCAATTTTCAAAATTTTCTGGGGGGAGGGCTCTCACCTGCAGTGCTCGCCGGTCGGGCTTCGTCCGACATTGCCGCGCACGACCAAATCCTTAGACGAGGCTCTGGATTACCCTATTCCTTGTCACGTACAACCGGGGAATCGAAACCATGCCAGTTGATTTAATGACTGATCTGATGATACAACGTGCACGCACTAACCATTCGGCCATCCAACCCCCTAGTTTTACTTCAATTTGACCATATATCCTGCACAGAACACTTCAGGATTCAATGACTTATCTACCCAGATTTCTTGCTGCAAACTGTCAGAATGTGGACAGGTTGCTCCAAAATAAATTTATTTTTCTAGGACATATAAATGTTATGGATAAAGTAGCCTTACCGGTACTTTGTTTTAATAAAAATGTGAACATCTCAACTAAAGGGAGATAACTATGCCATGTCTCGTCTCTTGGAATAACAAAATAACAAGTTTACATTTATCTTTTCTTAATACTAAATTAAATGCATTATAATAATCAAAGTTAAAGTTGGTTTTCACTTTACATAAAGTCCTTTGTGACAGCAGTATCAGAGATTTCTAAACACCATTTGTGTCAAGAAAGTATATCCGAATATATACTTCTGGAGAGATCTTGTCCTATCCATACAGACTTCTATAAAATTAATGATTAGGACTTGGGTTATGGTGCAAGCTATTAAAATTTGTTTAGTTTACTACCAGTAAAAAATGCAGCAGAGATTGCAATTAAATGCAGCTTAGTATCATAAACATAAAAGTTTCAATTATTATATTACAGTAAATAAGTCAACAAGTAGGATGTGTAGGATATGTTTGATGATTTGAATTCAGACTCTGGTTCGAAAAAATAACCTCTGCCATCCATGATGATTCTGTCACTAATCCTAACCTGAGTTCACACGTTTGTCAAATCAGGAAAGGTCACTAATCCTAACCCCGAGTTCACATGTTTGTCAAATCAGGAAAGGTCAGAGGATCAATCCTTAAAAAGGCACTTGCGAAGAGATCAAAATAAAATAACACTAAATGTAGCCTGTATCAAACTTGTAGGCCAGCTTCTGAGGATCTGACAGGCTGCCATATTCGATCAACATTACTATCAGTGCTGTTTCCCGGGTTAGCTAACTCTTTTGTTTGTCTCTGAATCTCGCGTATGATAACTCTAGCGTCTAGAGATGTCTGGCTGGCACGAAGGGTTGCATCATTAAACGGAAAGACAAGGTAAAAATCACCAAATTTCTTTGAAGGACCTCTTAAGCCAACTTGACGCTGATTAACAAGATGGCTACGACGTGTTCGCAACCATGGTTTCATACTCGAAATAGAATGTCGTTTTTTCTGGGTACCTGGCATGAGTTGAACTGTATCCGATGAAGAGAGTCGTGGATTCCTTTTTGTTTTTGGTAAGTGTTGAGGAGGAAGCTGAGGCGCTGGACTTCTTGAATTTAGGCTAGCCTCTTCATCAAGTTTCTCTGACGTAGCAATTTCCTTCCTTACCATAAATCTCCAATTTCCGACATCGCTTGTCTTCGACTGCTGATAGCTATCAAGATTAAGATCACAAAGACTTTTCATAAAGTGTGGTGATTTTTCTGAATATCTTGATTTAAGTTTAGCACTTCTAGTTTCCGAAAGCTGTCTAATGGATGTAGCACTGGAGTTTTCACTATGACTGGAGAAGCTAGAAATACCACTGTCAGAAATCGTTGAGCCCTTACTGTTCACTTTCCGAAGAGTGTGTCTGGACTTTGGGGTTCTTGGGGGCAACAATACAACTCTATCTGGAACTTCCATGGTCTTATTTTTATATTGGTCTCCATGATCGACGCCTAATTTATTATCATTTGTCGAGTCCCCTGAAGCGAAAACACATCCTTCGTCATCTGAGTGATGAACCAAAGGAAGACCAAATATAGGTGGTGCCGGACTACGAATTATTGGAGAAGGTGTTGTGCGTTTTTTTGCACTGTGTACGGACGGTAATTGTTTTACGCTGCCAGCCCGACTTAATCTACTGAATGCTCGGTGGCTATCGATAGAACGTGGAGTTTTCGTCGCAACTTTTCCCTGGTCCTTGTCTATTTCATTAAGATTGAGCATGTCTATTAAATCATGAACAACAGGTTTTTTAACGAGGTAATCGGCTTGACAATCGGCACTCAAACTAGGACTAAAATTAACCTCTAATAACCATGGTTTCTGATTTGCGTCCACTAATATATCAAAACCATACAATTCAAAACAATTATCTACTTTAGGCACTGACGGCGACTGTGTAATTAAAGTAAGGGTCACTATGTTTATGATACGTTGCCATAATAAACGATCGTCGATATTATTCTGATGAAAATAGTAGCGTAGTTGAGTTAACGTCCATTTGCACCCTGGACCAACCCGTTCTTTACCTGCCGAGTAATTAGGACTGTATTTATTGATGGACGAGTTTGTTAAATGAGCGAAGACATTGTTAAGGCTGTTGAGGTCGTACTTCTCTGTGCTAAATCGGACTATACTTTCTTGGTGTATGTAGATATTTAGAGGGTGAAAAGACGGTACCGCAACATAAAGTCTCAGATCAAATTTGTATCCGGATATCAACATTGGATTAGTGATGTAGCGTTGAACAACAGCACTACAGTTATATTGAAGTTCTGATAAATCTTTGAAGATGAAGATCCCCCGCCCTCGTGACATGTCGATAGGTTTACAGATCCACGACAAATTCTTTGAATCCGTTTTCTGTTTTAGTTTCGTGTATTCGGCTACAAATTTTGTATAATCATTGGGAACATTGAAGGAAAGGGGGCAAAAGTTGTAAACGCTTGAGCCATACACTCCCTTCATTCTCTTTAGATTCCGGGCAAGACCATCTTTACGTGTAATTGTGGTAGATTTTGGATAGTGATTTAATCGTTGCCATGACATTACATTGTCGTAATCACTTGTACGAAACCTGGATGATCGCCACCAGACATTCCATTCAGATTCATCATGGGTGTCTTCGTCATATTCAATCCAGCCCCTCTCAAGGAATACACTTCGAACAATCTGTAAACCCTCTCCATTGTCATTTATACGGAATATGAAGGATTTTCCATTTAAATTCATGTTGACAGACTTTGTTGGCAAGATAATGGATAATTTTTTTCAATATTTATATAACTTAAGGCATGATTCTATATTTCAGAGTATTTGGAAGATTGCTTCACAAGGCACATCCACTTTGCCATTTTCTGCAGGAATAATATTGCTGTTGAATGAAAAATTGGCATTATTGTGCTGTTACAAGATTTTGCGTTGACTGTCACATAATAGGACTTTATAAACCTGGAAAATACAATTAGTACATTATTTAAATTCCAGCTGTACAGGGTTCTTTTATTATGTTCGCACCAAAGAAAGAAAGGGGAGGGGGTATAGTGCTCTAGAATTGGGCTTTAGATCATAAGGTCTGCCATTGCATCAACATGGTTACGATCCCAAGCTTGTACGTGACAGGGTTTAGGGTTTTCTCTGTGAGTCCTAAGTTTTTCCCACTCCTATAGACCCCCACTCCACGCATAAGTGAATTATTGAAATAAAATTGTTCCATAACTAGTTTGTGGCAAATGGACAATAAGCTCCATCTATGAGATCACTGAGTCTCTCTCTCGCCAAAGAATATTCTGCTTCTTGATTTTCATCCTAAATGGCAGCCAAAATAAGTGGGACCTGGCTTAAAAAATCGAATTTCCTTGATTCAAGTTGGGATGACATGATTTATTAACTCATGCATGGCCAACTTTTACATATCATGTACAATTTGTTCTCCTGCTAATTCAGATGTGACCTGAAACTCTTGAACCCCTGTCTGCTTCTTGTAAAAATATACACTGTACAGTGTAGATGGTCTGTCATTGATTATCAAGTTGTGTGACAAGGTTTTCTCTAGTACGTGCTCTGAATTCGATCTTCCCACAGCTAAAGACCCCTATAAGCACAAGCAAAGTATTGAAATAAATTGAACCATGTTAATCCCATATAATCATAAGGTGAAAGGATCTATATAGACTAAGGTGCAGGCCTAGACGTAAAAGTAGCTAAGTCTCTAACTCAATAACATCCAAAGTCTTCGACATTGAAAACACAAATTATTTGTCAATTTAAATCAACATTGATGTTGTGATCTTACTGGGAACAGATGAGCTCCTGATTTCCAATATTTAAGACAAAATAAACATTTTACCCATGGTAATATACAAATTGTGTACCATAATGCGTTTCACTTCCAGCACCATTTGTAACAAGGAACTCGAAGAACGAGGCAAGACATATTCCACAAGTTGTGTCAAACAGTGACGTCATATTCTTATCTGGAGAGCATGCGCAATAAATACTATCTGTGTAGAATGGAATGGCTAGAGATTTCCATTTGATTGAGACTTCTCTATAGCTTATTTCGCGGAACATAAATAATTTGAAATTTGAGTTAAAACGGAAACAATTGAATGTAAATCAGTTTAAATACATTCACATTACATTATTATATGTGTTGCGACCAATTTGTATTAAAAACATTCACATTATATTATTATATGTGTTGTAACCCATTTGTGTCGATTTCTATAGGTAGGTCCCAAATATAAGAGATTTAGCTCCTTTAATTATTATGAATACCGTATTTATGATAAATATTTGATGTTTTTATGACTATTATTATGATAAATATTTTATTCTAAAACAATCTTAAATAATAAACAATAAAAGGTCTACGTACGGATGCCCCTGATCAATTTCATGACTCGGTGGTTACAGTGGTATCGTGACTAAGCACTGTTTGACACAGTCCCTTTAAAAATCTTTGCTGAGAGCAAGTCCAAAAAGACGGAAGCAAACTTGACATTTTACTTGTTTGGTCTAATAAATTATAAGCGAAAACCTTCAATCTTTTGTTTCGACAAAAATAATCATAGAAAGTGGTTTTAAATTTTCGCTTCACGGTTATACTTTACCGTTTTAGTCTAAAACCAGAAAATATCCCAAAATCTTCCTTCTTGCTATGAGAAATATTTCATTGTTGATATCACGTGACTGACCTCAGTTACCACATGCCAATCCAAATAGCTGTTATTTCGCGTTTCGGCGGTGAATAGACATTCAAATTTATACGGACAAGACTTGGACTACAGACAAGGTGTCATTTGTACGAATGTTTTCTTGAGTGTTTGAATTATTTTAGCACCACAATGCTGTTTTTCCCCCGTGTTAGGTATCTAAACAAACAAGTGTTTTTCTTTTGCTACTAGATTCACGGACAAACAAATTTATTTACCGACGCAGGGGAGGGGTGGGGCCTAGGACTGGAGTTCGGGGAATTTTGTGGAGCAAAAAAACCCTAAAAAACAACAATTATTGGTGATAATTATAATATTATATTATAAATAGTAGGGTATAGGCAAAAAAGTAGGCCTATTATAAGCACTAGTCTTGGACTATTCAAAAGTTTCTTTAATTCTTAATGTTCTTAATAATTCTTTTTCTGCTTCCTTCTTTTTCAGCTTCTCCAGAGATTCGACAAATAGACGTACACGCTGGTCAAGTTTTTGGGCATACAGTCGGTTAACTTCTAGTAAAATCTCCCGGGGATTGGCGCTTTTTCGTTCATCAATCAGACGATCCACGTTGGTCATTGCTATTAACTGGCGTCTGGAGAGAATGTTGCTCGTTCGCTCACACATTACATTAAGGCGTCGTCCTCTCGGTTTGGGATCAACAAGAAGATTTTCAGACGACGAATATGTCGACGTCTTTGCTGTTTGTCCACGTTTATCTTGGTACGATGGAGTCGTGATAGTTACCGAGGAAACTGTTTTTGCGGACTGTCCTCGCCTAGCCGAATACCCTGGTACTAGAGTACTTCTTGGTCGTTTTTCGGAACTGTCTGGGGCCTTAAAGGTCTTAGATTTTGTTTGTATGAAAAACGCAGGGGAAGGTGAAGATCGTTTCGTGAAGGCTTTCCGTGGGCCAGATTGACTGATTTGTGGTTTCTCTTCATCATGGGCACCGTTTGTGTTATTAGAATGACCTTCTTGAGACGCTGTTGGGGCTGGAGCCGATTTGACTCTTTTTTTGCTGAAAGGGTCGTCGTCAATAAAGGAACTATCATCGGAATCTTCAGACAAACTATTGGCATCATCATCGATCTGCGGTATTCGGATATTAGGACCCAACTTCGTTAGGTTTCCCGCTTGACCAATTTTCCCTCGTTTACAGATATAAGCAGACGATGTGTAAGGTCTGGGTGGTAAATTTTTCCTCTTCTTTAAACTAGATTCTCCTTGGATAGTATTATAATTTTGCAAAGTTTCTTTAATTTCTTTAATTTCTGAAGTTCGGCTCATCCATTGTTTGTGTTTATTAGATGCCAATTCGTTTATGTCGAAATGTAAGTTTTCTGATAATCTTTCATTCGCGAAGTGAACCTTGCTGTGGTCTATACGCAACACACTTCCCTTCTGCTTTGAGTTCTTGAATTGTTCGGTTTGTTCGTCGGCGGCGAACATTATTGGGTGGCTTAAGTTTCACATTCAAGCCACACAATTAACTTGCTATAGTCTTCACAGATATGTAACTACCGAGTGTGTTTCATGACACAATCGAGTCTGTAAAAAGGATGCTTAGTTCAAGACGGTTTCCGCTGTAGACTAGTGGAACTTTACAAACGGAGCACAAAAGAATGTAACCCAATTATAGTTTTTGTTGCGACAACTATCATCGTACAAAATAAGAATGTAAAAATTAGCGACTTCAGATGGTAAAAAAGACTATGTGATGTCTGTTCTAGGGTAAAGAAATCCAATCATGTTATTCCTAATCGGTAACAACCCCGCAATGAGGTACATGTATATCGGATAGCGATTAACCACGGTATTTTAAAGTTGTAAACATCACGGCTACCTCTGATTACATAATGATTTGATCACAGTTCAGAACACAAGTTCTAAAGTTAAGAACCACTGAACAAACTTAGAGCGACTACAGCTCAAAACATTATCTTCCCGATCGGTAGAAACTCACTTTGAAATGAAATTGGGTTTAACGTCTTGCTAAATTAACATTGAACACCGGTAATGATACACTCGGAGGTTCACAACTGGTATATCGTGCAACTTACTAAATAGGAAATTTAACCTTAAAAACATGAACAATATATTTTACTAATCGATCACCATGTTAGAGACTGATTGAATGAAGGGAGTAGAGACTCTTTTACGACCCATCGATTTTTCTACTTTTACTTTAAGGAGCTAAAGCGTTTTACCCCGTGATATTTACAATACGGGGTCTAATCACCACTCGCATCCTCTTTTCCTTTAAAAAGACGGTCAAACGTCAAGGAATATCGTATGAGGGAAATTTTGAGCGGACATCAGCGTTTCCGGCCAGTCTTCATCGCCTCAATGAGTGCCTCTATTTTTTCATCCCACCTGAACGATTAGTAGCTCTTTTTCCTTCCCTGACCCCTCCTTCTGCACCACTGACAAATGTAAACCTGATAGGAAAATCCCCGAGAACTCCAAATAGTGAGCCAGGGTCAAACTCACTGGTGGCTTGCACATAAAAGAACCTTGACAGATGAAATTCGAAAATAAGAGTAGGACGTAGCACCGCTGCCCGGGCAAAATGTATCCTATAGCACACATCATTTAGAAATGGAAGATTTCAAAATTCAAATGGTAATGGCATCCCGTACTCCCTTTATTTATACTCCCAGTATTAAACATTTACATATAATAAAACTATGTAGATAAAGATGTATAGTCTATAAGCTGTGGTTAGTATGACTCTATATAACAATAGATATTTGATGTTTTATTGTATTGCGATAATTACCCTAGATTAACCAGTAACACGATACAGTATTGATTATAGTAGCATTACTTATTGTTATCAAACAACGCTCTATTGAAGACAGTGCTTCATATTCTTTACTTTAAAGGTAACTTCCTTCGAGATTAAAGAACTTTTAGTTTATTGTTTAATAACGACGAAAGTACTAATACTTGAATTTTACTTATATGTTTAACTGAGAGTTAGATCGGGGTGTCCGGAGAAAACGAGGTTAGACAGGCCACCCTACTCCCTATCACACGCAGAAATGAAATGAAAATATCACATGCAAGCTTGGGATTGAAACCACAACAATTACTTGACTCAATGCACGTACTAAACCACCAACTTCCCCATTTTCACCTGGATCTTATGATGTATAACGTACGAGTTACATCACCCGATAATCCATCTTGCGATTATCTACGAATGTTATATCATGGACACTCTTTGATGCGAGCTCTACACTATATTTTGATGTGGATTGTCTCATTAAATGTATGAAATCCTATTGCAAAATATTAAGTTCTGGTGGTGTATTAGATAATCTATATTAGTGATTAAGAATTTAAAAGGCGCAATGTCTAGTACTAAAGTCCAATAGAATTATTAGTTAAAGCTGCATGTCATTTTGTCCCTTTTATAACTTCTTAACATTACGTCTTGTTTTTTTTTTGTTTTTTTGTTTGGTTTTTATTTTCATAAAGTCCACAATTATTCAAATGGATGTGAAAGAAAGGGGATTAAATGTTGTATGGAACATATTTTTAGCAATTGATAATTTTGTATCTAAAACGTACCCTTTATTTATTTACTGCATGACATATTCCTTTCAGAATATAAGACCTAAAAAAGTGCTAATATTAATAATTCTGGATTAAATTGTTTTCTCACGACAGAGCATAAAGAAATTAATTAAAGTGGACTGGAATAATAGCAAACCGAACCGGCTATTCAAGACAAAGTGTACAGAAATTAATGAAAGAGTATTTAAATTATAGCAAATCGAATGAGCTACTCTAAATTTATGAAAACTTTGTCTGGTACTTAAGATGTTTGTCAGTAAATTAGAATTAACACTGTTTAACGTCTCGTAAAATCAGACCTTCATATGACCACCTTTTTCCGACTAATTTGCACACGGGGCCTTGTTTTATTGTCCATTTGAATAAATAGACTGACAAATCTGAACCAGATTTTGGTCGATATTCATAATTTTGGGACAGAAGGATAACAGAGTTAAGGGGTTCGTTTCAATGGATAGTGGTTTACCAGTATGCTACTTCCAGTTTGTTTATCTCAAAATGACCTTGGCTTACCTTATATATGTTTTGGAGCAATACATTGTCAGATGTTGCTCTGTCGGTGGTGAGAAGCATTGGACTAAAAAAAAAATATTGTGATAAAGCTAGTGTCGGGCAAACAGATTAGAATTTTACATTGGTCATTGTGGTTATATTTAGTGGGCTGCATCCGGATAAACAAAAGACTTTTGTCTCCCTTCAACCAATGCAGTGAATTGCGAATATGGGGGAGGGGCTAACCCGAATTCCACACAGTCCTGATATGTCGGGACTTAAAATTAATTACATAAATGTTTTTTATCATAAAGACCCGGAATCTACAGTTTCCCAAGCTCCTGGCCCAATCAGTCTCATAGTTTGGTAGTTTACTTATATAGCTTATACAATGTCCGTGGTTTCCTTATGTCTTGAGAGTTTCTAATTATTTTTTTTTATTTCTGGCGCAGTCTTTACTATTAGGTCGACTGATGGCTTATATTGTCTATATGTTGTCTTGATGAAGTCCTAGTCCTGTATACTCTCCGCGATCCAGTAAACATTTATTTTTATTATAATGTGGCCAGTATAATATTACATTTGCAACGATACATCCCACACATAGTCATGTTTTTCATTCCACGTGGTTTTGACGCGTCATTCTTATCCATAAACATTTAATACGTTTTTTTTGTTTTGTTTTTTTCGCTAATGATTTGATATCTGACATATTTACGCCTACGGGAAGAGAAATGGGGTGCAAAGTCCATTCCACCCAAACCCGGTCATTTCAGGACCACAATATCATTCTTATTTAATACGTTTTTTTTGTTTTGTTTTTTTTCGCTAATGATTTGATATCTGACATATTTACGCCTACGGGGAGAGAAATGGGGTGCAAAGTCCATTCCACCCAAACCCGGTCATTTCAGGACCACAATATTATTATGCTTCAGTTTTATTTCAACGATTCGCTTGTGCAGATCTTTAGCAGTGGGAGGAAACCGGAGAAAATCCATGGAGGCGACTCCTTGTCATATACAAGCTTGGGATCGAAATCATGACACTCGATTCAAAGCGCATGACGGGTTTCGTAATTACTGAAAAAGATAAGGTAGACAAAGAACAGGTTGACTTTCTATAGTACATTATCACTGTCCAGTGACTTTCTTCAAGAAAGCAAACATGGTGGGGGAGGGGGGGGGGTCACCCAAGATACATGTCAGAATCCACCAAATGGCATCGATTTTTCAGGTACCCCCACCCCCATCCCACCGATGTGGTTCGCGCCCCTGGCGCTCGTGTGCGGCACGCTATGCCTGGCGCACTGAGCTGTCACTATTCATTCATTGCATAGGGCCTAAATTCTTTTTAATTTAAGAAAACAACCCTGCTGCAGCATACCTTATTTGTAAAAGAGGGGCCGCGGTGGCTCTGTGAGTAAGACGCTGGGTCACTGACCAGGAGGTCTCTGGTTCACTCCCGGTGTTGGCCTAGAAAGTTTCTCGAGATTTCCCGGCGTTGGCCTGGAAAGTTCCTCGGAATTTTGCGGCGCTGTTTCCTCTTGTTTTTCTCTTGTCAGTGGTGCTAGTCCTTCGGATGGGACGAAAACTTTAGGTCTCGTGTACACATTGGTATGCACGCAAAAGAACCCATGAAGCTAGAATTCGTATTAAGAGTAGACCGTTTAAACCCCATCTTAATTCTCTTATTTGTAACCTTAACAGCAATCTCCAATCCGTTTCACAGAGGTATTTCGAAGCGGCCTATAGCGAATATTCACTGCTAATCAGTATGAGCAATGTACTGCAGGAGTTAACGCATCCTCGGTTACCCAGTGTACTCATTCCGTTCTACTCCACTATACCCTGGGTTAATCTATGGGGGAGACATGTTTTCAATTTATCCGCCCTTGATGATTGTGCTATTTTTATCGACCAATCCCATAAAATGTTATTCGAAAAGGAAGTTGGCAAAGGTAAGTAACTCTCATCGGACAATGCCTATTCTAAATGCGTAATTATTAACAACCAATTATATATTATGTTAATGAAGACCAGATGTTCATATAATAATGTAGGGTCATTAGTTTTATTTAGAATCGTTCGTTCTCCGAATTGTATGTCCACGTGATATCGTAGACAAGTTATTGTGAATGTTTGTTAGTTGTATTTTACGTCCGCTTCCACCGAGGTGATATCGCAGAAAATAACATGTTATGTATTAAGGTGCAATAATTTTCAATGTGATTAGTGAAAAAGAGGATAATTAGGTTTTTATATATATGTACAGAAGACAATAGATAACAGAAAGAGACATGAGATAACAGGTGCAAAGAATAAAAAGGTGCCAGTGGACGTTTACAAAAACAGACGAATTTGTAACAAAACAGACATGAATGTGGACGAACATTTGGACAGAGACAAACATTTGGACATAGTATGTACATATATATATATTTAGGTCGTTTTCGTCGGTCTGGTCGATTTGCTCGGTTGAATGGCAGGGCGGTGCAACTCTTCCTTGGGGCTTGTTGGTGAGTGTAAGGCCTGGACCATTCTTCCTTCCATTTGGTTTTGATGTCCGGTATGGTGGTTGATTTCGTCATTATTTCTGTTGTTCATTCCTTTGTTATTGGTTCTCTGAAGGAAGAATCCAGCGCCTGAAAAGAGAAAGCTAGAGAAAAAAGAGTATCTGGTCTTACGGTGGTTTTGTTTTTATTTCGTCTAGTAAGGCTTCGGGGGATGGGGCTGGGGAGAGGAGAAGAAAGAAAAAAAAAATGCATTTATGGCAAGCTAGTATGATATACAGTCAAAATTTATTAGGAGTTAATTAATACAATAATACATATATGGTGGCTTAATATGATCTACAATCAATACTTATTTAGTGAATAAATAGAAATTTTTTTAAAAAGTTTCAGGGTGTGTAGCGCTTCCCTCTTATGGGGACATTTTTACGCTAACACCCTGATTTATTAATTTCGTCGGAGTTTTATTAGTAGTGTGGGGCGGTTTACGCTTCCCTCTAGGGGACATTTTTACGTTCCACCCTACTGTAAAAAAATTTTAAAAAAATTTCAGGGTGAGTAACGTTTCCCTCTTCAGGGAATCAAATTGCCAAGTATAAGTTCAATAATAATAAACATAACAAAATGAAACATTTCAGACAAAGAACGAACAGTAATAATAATGACAAAAGTCAAACATATAGATGTTATACATATTTGAAATCAACAACACATACTACAGATTGTGATAATACAATTAAATATAAATAAACTATAAATATACATTATTTAAATAAATCATTCAGTAAATGGGTATGAATATGGTTATCCACCCTTATAAAAACGAAGGCGAAACGATTGGTTTGTAAACTGTTTTCTGATGGGTTCGTAGACTACATTCGAGGCCAGGGCAGATAATTTGAAATCGTGGAAACCCTATGGATTAACCCAGGGTATAGTGGAATAGACCGGAATGAGTACACTGGGTAACCGAGGATGGAGTTAACGTTGTCATACTGACCCTTGTTACAATGTCTAAAACAAACACGTGACTTCCAGCTTCGTTAGCTTTCTGCAACGAACAGTTGATAACGGCGAATATCGAACAGTCTACGAGAATAAAAGCTGTTAAGAGATCGCCATCCTCGGTATTAATAAAGGTACCGTTCAGTTCTACTCCACAGGAAGATCAGGGCCGTAACTAGCTCAGAACAACGAGGGGGCGGGAAGTGTTCTCAGGAGTGCTGTAAAATTGACAATGTATATCTATTGTTTTTATGGTCGACAATTTTTTCACGGGAGGGAGGAAGATGAAAGTGTGTATTAAACACAATTGACATTATTGACCGAAGCCAGTGTCAAGAATATTATACAACTTGACCAGAAATGAAATGAAATGGGGTTTAACGTCCTACTGTTCTGCTCTTAACCTGGGCTAATGAAGACGGGCATACGCCATACAGTGTGCTATGAGGGAAATTTTGCCCGGGCAGCGGCGCTACGGCCTACTCTTATATCGAATTCCAACTGCCAAGGGATCTTTTACGTGCACGCCTATGTGTACATGGGACCTCGGTTTTTCGTCCCATCCAAACGACTAGACAGCTGTCCTTGTCAGACCCTCCGTCCTGCATCACTCACAAGGGGAAACCACACAGGAAAATCTGGATGAACTTTCTCGGCCAATGCAGGGATCGAACATCCGACCTCCAGGCTAGTGAGTCAGCGTCTTACCAACTTAGCCACGTGATCTCCCCAGCTTGACCAGACCGACACTGAGTACAGAGGGATAAAAAAAATACCATTTGAGAGGACCACCTAGCATTAGCTCCCACCCTTTACCTCTACCACTACCACCCCACATGTATCAGCCCTTTTTGATTATTTCTATATCATTAGAAACAAGCGACATTTAGCATCAATCTGAAAATCGTGACAGTAGAAATTGTTGTCTTCTTCCTGTACGTCAAAATACCAGAATGTGACCTTCCCTTTTTATGCTTTTATTTGTCTGTGATATTAATTCACTTATAGAATCAGTTTATTATCATTGTTTGGTGAGGCATACGAATTCTATTAATCCTCCCCCTTGATTGTATATGACTCGCGTGGCCTACACATAACCATTAAGGCGTGCGATATACATATATGTATATAAAAAGTTTATGTAGTAAATAAAATGTTCTATATATATAAAAGCGTATTTTATTTTTGAGTCTGATTTGTGTATTTATACCAATTTGTATCAGCGAGTACCTGATGAAAACTGGGACATCTCCATTCAGGTGTATTAATATGTAATGGTACGTATAGGTAATTATATAACTATTCTATATAAGCAATGCCCGTTGGGCTGGATCGCCAGGTAAAATAATATGGGACTGGGTACAAATTGATGAAAAACAATTAATGAATAATGCACCGACTTTGGAAGTAAAAATATTTAACGATGTCAGATTGTTATTCGATTAAACAAAATTTCTAATAAAATCCTATAAAATCGATATTTTTTCCAAAAAAAAAAATATCTCTATTTACAAAGTAATTGAATTGGAATTGCGAAACAGGCTTTAAAAATGTGTGACAAAGGCTAGTGTGAGAAATCTGAGATTCTTCGAATGTATAGTATGATCTAAAAATGAAAGGGACATGCATTGTCATAGTACAATTATATAAACTGGCCTATATTTCTCAATACTACACAGGTTTTACTATTAGATATAGGTAATGTTTACTTATAGTGGGGGTATACTATACAATTTGTATGGTGAGGTTTTAGCCTGACAAATACACGTCTAAGCAGCTAGTCTCAGATTCTACATTGACAAGGTAAGCTAAATATTTATTTTGTGTTTGTTCCATTGAAAGAAAAGAAATGGGGTTTAAAGGCATGTAAGGATTTTCACAGTTGAAGATGGTTCAGAAGATTCTTCAAGGCCAATTTGTAGAAAAAAGCAGGTTGCTAATTACGATGTTAAATCATATTTTAGATACTTATAATATCAATTCTTAACGAATTTTAAAACATCAAATTACACACGTTCGTAACTCTAGAATAAAAATTGCCATATTTTTGTTTGAAGCGGTGTAGGCCGATAGAGTTCCTCGTGATGGTCCTGCCCAGTTTCCCCTTGCCAGAGGGTCTGATATGACAAAAGCACCTTGTCGTTCAGATAGGACAAAAAACGAAACCCGGTCTAAAGCTACTACTGTCAGCACTTTTGAGCTCGATGGAAAGGGAAAAAACTACAGCACAGCTATTCGGGCCAAATTTCCCTAAGTCTGTCTTCATTATCCCGATCGGTGCAGAAAGGAAGGACGTTAAACCTGATTTCATTTCTGAATTTATATTGTGGCATAAAATTCGACAATTTACCTATTTATTGATTGGATGGTTTCTTCAAGGTAAGCCCGCCTTCTACATAAATTGATGACACGACTTGGGGTAATTTCTATTACTACTGTATCATGACATCCGTCAAACTGTCTATTTTTTGTATTAATGATAACTTCCGGATACTCACACCTTCCACTACAATGATGGGATATATAAAGAGGTCCTTCTTATGTTCTTGTTTCTTGTTAACAATTACCATTCAAGATACATCAGCGGGGTCTTCATTAGATATTAGTCATATATGACTCGTTCCTAACGATGACTCGTCTGCCACATCATCATTGATCTGAATGAACAATATATAAGAAACAATTAGCCGAGTAATACTATTAGTAGGCCTATCTTGTAATGGTTGAGTAGAGATTTAAAGGAGCTAAATCGCTAACATTTGGGACCTAGAAATTGACAAGAGTGGGTCGCAACGCATATAATACTGTAATATGAATGTATATAAACTGATTTACATTCAATGGTTTCCGTTTTTACTCCAATTTCAAATCAGTTATGTTCGGCGAAATAAGCCAGCAGTCTCAAGCGAGTGCAAATTTATAGCGTCTGGTTATTTCAGTCTACATACGCCGTTTGATTTGGTGCAATGTGTCTAGCCTCGTTCCTCGAGTCTCTTGATACAACTGGGGCTGAAGCACATTATGGTACACGATTCGTGTACCAATGGTAAAATGTTTATTTTGTCTTTAATATTGGATATCAAAAGCCCATCTTTTTCCGGTAAGATCACAACATGAATGTTGACTGAATTTGACAAATAAATCGTGTTTTCAATGTTGAAGATTTTGGATGATATTGAGTTAGAGACTTAGCTCCTTTAACCACTGACTCAAAAGATGTTTTCGAGCTTTGGACATTTTCGCCTTTATTTAGAAAAAAATATGGCTATACTCTTATCTAAAAAGCGTGAATAGGAAATCAAAATGAAATGAAATAGTGTTTAACGTCCTTATTTTCTGCACCTGCCAGGCTAATGAAGGAAATTTTGTCCGGAAGAGTTTTTTCCGCCTACGTACTTGCGCGCCAACATGTACACGTCACATCGTTTTTCGGCCCATTCGAACAACTAGAACTGTTCCTTGTAAACTCTTCCACCACGAGAGAGAAAGTTCCTCGTCCAGTTTGAATATGATTTTATGCCGAGATATAGACGTTTTAACTCAATTTACTAATCATACAAATAGTTTAGTTCAGTTAAAATGGTTTTCAAGGAGTTCACCGAATGATCGACAACCAATGCTTAAATTTTCGATAGAGGGAGTCTAGGATTATTTTGAATATGATATTGTTCAGACTTAATTATATTTATTTCCTTGGCGAAAATGGTAATGTCTTTAGTTTTTGGCCTTCCTTTCCAATTTCCACGATCCCTATTGAGACAAAGTCGGGCAAAACATTTGACTACGGTTGTGCTGGAGGTTATCGTAAACCCTGTATAGCCTCATTCTGAAATCTTGCCTCACATGGCTACGGGTCATACACAAGGCAAGTTGCGCTTTCTCCATTTCAAGATAGCATAGATTTTAGGATGGGACGGAAAACCGAGGTCCGGTGCAAAAGAAGCATTGACAATTGGAATTCAAAATAAGAGTAGGCCGCAGTGCCGCAGTGCCGCTGTCCAGGCAAAACTCCCCATTCTACCAAACTGAATGACGTACGCCCGTCTTTATTAGCCCCGTTGGTACAGTTTATTTCATGTCATTATTGCTCCAGAATATCGTCAACATGGCTTGTTTAAATGACCATGTTTGTTTTGCTGGATATAATCACTATTGTTTAATTGTGATGGCTTCCGGTGGTATCCATGATATATTGTAAGTTAATTATATATTTCAACGAGTATTAATGTAGTCACGAGTATGATTTATGGTCTGTAACTCATATACAAACTATATTAAAGTATGTAATATAATTATTATATTTCACTTAGGGCCAGAATATAATCTTCATATTATGTGAGCATATTATTATCCTAGTGGGAAAGAAAGTCTAAATTTCTTTCGGCGAGGGTTTACAAACTTGGCCCCCACTTATCGGTTGTAACGCTTGCAAGGAAAGTCTAGGGCCAGAATATCATTTTCATATTATATGGGCATATTATTATTATCCTGATGGGTAAGAAAGTCTAAATTTCTTTCGGCGAGGCTTTACAAACTTGGTCCCCTCTTATTTGTAACGCTTGCAAAGAAAGCTTTGTCCCGCTTTGTCCCGATAGGATAAAAACCCAGGGGATACCGTTAAGATCGTCTTGGTTTAGTGTCCTACCTCCGCTCCACCGCAAATAACATATGGCTATTGATTGTTTTATGTAATGTTATGAGATTTTAAAGACGAAATCGATGTCCTAAAAGATATAATGGTGAATTTAAAGATATCATATTAATACGGTTAAATCAATGTACTTAAATATATTAGCTTAACCAGCTGTCATGATTGACACATTATTACCAGCTTGGTAAACAAATATATTCCTTGGTTGTTGCAATTCATGTCCGATAGAATTAAAGAGACGTCACCATCACCAATATTTGATAAATACTTAATTTTGAACAATATCATTTCAACTTAACATTAAACCCTTAACTATTGAAAATCTGAACTCCGATCTACGTAAAGTATTTCCACAAGGGTTCGTTACACACCTTGAAAGCAACCCAAATATTTGTGCGACCCAGTGATGACTTGGTCGGTTTGTCTCACGCCTAATCTGATGCCCGATGTACTGTATACTTATAAATATTATTAATACTTCGTTTCGTTTCATTTTTGTTCCTTTATTAGCTTACCACTTTATCATACCATGGTACGAATTGTACGTTTTGTGCAGGGATGGGTTTCGCCGTCGAGATCTGGTCGAAATTTTTCGTTGATTGATTTTGTATCACTGTCATAATCTCTTTTAATCCGGCTTATATCGACAGTTTACGTCAATAAGTGACTCCTTGGAGAAGTCAGTCATTCTGGAAAATTCTGCGGAAGACTTGATTTTTGCTCCTACGGTGTATAAGTCTATGAAAAGGACAAAAAAGGCTAAATTAGAACATTAACATGAGATAACCACTGGTTGTATTTCTGCAGACTGGAAGCCAGTATACAGACTTCAGACTAATCTTCCGAAACAAAAAGGTTATCCTTTAGTATCCAAAAATACAACATAAATTTGTTAACTATATTTCAACTCAAACGCGAAAAGTGATCATATGTTCTTAAAAGAGTAAGCATACCCTGTTTCGTGCCGGGCACCCCTCCCTTCTTATCGAAATAACACCGTCAACTGAATACTTTATTTTGCGATCATGGTTGACCTGACTCCGTTTTATTTAGGTTTAAGAATTTGGGGAAGATGTTAAGTTTTTACATAAGCACTGACCTAGGATGATGAAAATTTAGGGTTAGGGACCATGTGAATCACATCAACCATAAATGACATCTTATGTTAACCTAAACTGTCCACGCTTTACTCTATCACAATGTACTGTGTACCCTTTCACAAATATCAAAAAGGTTTGAAGTATTTATTATAAAATTCTTCTCTTTTAAAGAGATCGACAATTGTTATTAAAAATTCTGTAATATCAGCAAACTCTAGCATGTCGGTATCGGCGTTTATTTTACTTGATAACCATGTATATTTTACTTGATAACCTTGTCTATTTTCATTAGAACAAGATAGAAGAGAGTTCAGTACAGGGCAACACACCGACTGATTAAACCATTGGGAGTCATCAATAACTAAATCTGATTCCAAGCCTTACATCTCTACGGTTCGATTAGAACATCTGTTTGGGGAGCAGTTGCTTGTTCGGGAACGTATTTTACGCCGTATGATCTGATGGCATATTGTGCGGTTCGATTGAAATACCTATCTTACACAGTGTAATCTAGATAACCACAAAAGGTTGCAGGCTACTGTCAATTTGGATCTTCATTGTTGGACTGGAATACCTGCGTTTTTTTGTGGATGACCGTATATTCTAAATACGAATTCTGTTTTACGGTAGGGTCGTGATCCCTATATAATTTGGTTCGAATGGAATACCTGGCTGTTGTCACTTGACGGATATCCCCAAGTTGATCCGAAACAACTAGTAAAGCACCATTGCCAATTCAGATCCACCCAACACAAAGCAAATTTCAGAGCCGTTTAATAGACGTAACCAGCGCCCACCAAACATCTTTTACTAAACTAAAACATCTGACACATTTACCAAACCCCATGTGTTCTTCTTAAACTCTACAACAATTTTAACATCGTTAAATCGTTTGTCTGCGATATCATTTAATGTGGAAGCACACCTTAAACACCAACCAGCAAGCAAGCCTTAAATCCTCCTTTAACCATCAAGGTTAGAAAAGTGAGCTCGTCCAAAAATTGGATCAATACAAGTATCTTATTAAAATACAATTTCGTCTCTACATGCCTACCAATCTATGAAGTAATAAAAAGGGGGACGAACGAAACCGACCTTGAAACGTTTTAGGATAAATATGAAAGCTAGACATATGTCAAAGAATCAAGTTAATTAGAAACCTATGGCTTTGTAGAAAAAAAACAGCGACTGTGATATATTTTATGGAAATAAGGGAGAAGTTAATCAATGTGTTTTCGAGACGTTCTATAAAAGTCTCCAGCGCCTGATTCCATGAAGTGTTGTACGAGTTGTATATTTATATTTTATGGATTTGAATTTAATAAATATTTCAAATTCTCGTCGTACTCTTAATGTACTGTACCAAGTGTGCATTTTAACATTTGAAATTAACTGTTAGTTTCAAACGCTGACAGGTTTTATTTATAATCGTCATATCTCTAAATCAGTGAATAATAGTAATAATATACAATATAGTTAACAGCTGACCTCAGATTGATTGCACGGATGGATACATCATAGTGTAGGTGAAATAATTGACGGGAAAGTCGCTTATTCAATGTCGAATGATTTTGGAGTTAAAAGGCGAACTCGTCGTGGTACAGTCATTGCATTGACAGGTTTCTCAAGTGTTTACAGCGGGAGACAACGTTGAAAACAACAGGTAAAAACTGTCCACGAACAGTTTAAAACTATTGTATTGAGTGTTACGGAATTTTATTTTTGATAGATCTGCTGATGTTTTACTATCGCAGATCTTCGATTGATATACAGTTCGATTGATAACAGAATTTCATCTGATACAATTCAATTCGATACAGATTTTACGCGTGTTTAGACAAGTTTCTTTATACACACCGTTTCTTTCCAAAAAACTTGTCATATACGGTGTTTTGAAATATAATAATTTGAGCCAAGTAAATTGAGAAGTATAAAACAATTGGTATTACCATCGATATATAAAAAAGGTGTTTAATAACCGTGTAATTAGAATCGGCAGTGGCTTTCAAAACGGACGTTGGAACCACTGAACAGTTTTCAGGGTATAATTATTATTACCAAAACAGGTCCTACAGTACTTTTAAAATTGGTGTGCCTCAAGTGACTTGTATTAGTTGGTGTGCTGAAAGAACGGTTCTTCGAGGTGGTGATAACCTAAAACGATCGTGTAAAATAAAAACGGGTATTAGAAACGACAACATTATTTAGCGTGTGAAACTATAGTAACAGAATGGATGTAAACATATTATATTATAGTTTTATATATTTATTAGTGTATATAAGCAGTATATGTGGATTTAGTATAGAAAGAACAATATTCCCTACAGCTGATATACGTGTTTACGTTCATAAACGAACAGCCAAGATCTGGGAACCATGGGAGTTAAACAGACGTAAGTATAAATACATACCTATATCAGTTTTTGTAATCATTAGGATTAATATATATATACTTTTATATAGAAGAACCTGTTAACTTTACGAAGTCCGGGTGCATTAAGGTGCACAGAAGATATGCCTACAAAATAACTTTTTATTGTGCTCAGTCGGTCAAAGCCAATTGTCGTTGTACCTCTTAAACTCCAAACAAAATCTATGATGCAATAGTTTTGTAATTAGATAGTTTACAATCAACGTGAAGACAAGAGACCAGGGCCGGATTAATCTGGTGAGGGTCCTGGGGCCTCGAGTCTGTGGGGCCCTATCACATTCCGCATTTACGTCCCATCACATTCCGCTATTGTTCAGACGTCTGGCACCCAATGAGTAATGCACGAGACTTCAGCGATGGGTAACTATATCTTGGCGTGATTAGAACAACTGGGATTTACAAGACAATAATAAAACTTATCAGATTTGAAATAAAATTATTTCTGGTAAAATATAAATTAGGCCTATAAAATGAAAGAGAAAAAGGACATTTGATGTGTAGTCACAGTTGTCAGAAATTCGACATTTATTTTTCTTAATTTTGTTTACTCAGATGAGATTAGCAAAATACTCCTGTAGATTCACAACCCTATCTACAGTTAGCTATAAAATAGTGACGGGGATCGTGCATGAGTAATGCTTATCTTACAATTTACTCAGAACATGTGTAATGTAAAAAGGGTGATTTGATTTCTGATGTTTTCGAAGTTTTATTTGCGGAAACACACATTACGCTTCACATAGTGCAAGATTCGTTTCATTCAGGTTTTACATTAAACGGGTCAATGTACTTTTGGCAAAATGTTGGGGTTTGGGGTTTTTTTTGGATTTTTTTTAATGTTTACAGATTTAAATAAAGTGTTTGTAGTATTTAGATTGGTTAGTCACAGTTTGTTGTTAAATCTCTCGTCAAACAAACTCAGGAAATTAAATACAGTTATATTACACACAGAAATATTTGTTCATTCATTGAGTCACATGCAGTGGTTCTTCAACATCATGTAGCCTACATTAGGAATAAATTAATTGGGGTTTCGCCAGAATGTTGTCTATCAAAGGAAGATCCTGTATAAAATGACAACTCGTGGGTTGCCTCCCACTGCTAAAGTGTCCCGCGCACAAGCATGGGTGTACGGAAATGAAAGTTTTGGTTTATAGTTTGATGATGGATAATGGACGAAAATAATCGTTGAACGATTTTTGTTTGTTTCCACTCCATTTGACTCAATGACATACCTTACGATCTAAAGCGCACTCGTTTAACCGACCCTGAAATATACATAAACACCAAACATCGGTTTTATTTATAGTGTTGAGTTTGTTAAAACTGACTTGGTGATCTTAAAGAAGAACTCGACATTGCGAAAGCGTAATGAGAATTTTCTTTCTTTCGCAAATCAACTGTTTTCGGGATGTTTTGACACACCTTGGAAACTGTTTTCTTTTCACCAGATCATAAATTTCATGGGCATACATTTATTAAAAACTAACTTTTCACCATTTGCAATATATAAAATACTTATCATTCTGTATACAATATCATGTTTGACCTAATTTTCTCTGATTTATCTCACGATCACGATGTATGCCATTTGATATAGGTGAATATGTGCCCGTGTGTATACTATACCTATATTTACTATCTACAGTCGGTTAATTGATGAAGTTTATTATATACTCCACTTAGTAGTAATGGTATATTAATTGTTAGACAGTAAATAGAGAAATTATTTGATGTCTAGGCTAGGAGGTATTTAGAAAAGAATGGGTGATAGAACACTTGGCCTTATATACTCGTGTACGCATGTGGTAAGCATACCCTGTCTCGTATGCGACACCTGGCAACATTTTGAAAGCCAATGACACTGCCAGTAGAAGATACTATCGTGACCAAAGGCAGCACAGTAAAATAAATAAAGGCATAACCTGAAAATCATACGTGTACATCAATGTGGAAAAGGGGCCGTCTGTAGCCTGTGTTGCGGTGGGTGTGATGAACCTATACCATTCGTGAGAACCTAGTGGTAAATAAAAAAAAAAATCCAAAAACAGAATTTCCGTTAAGATTTAAATATTAATCATTAGAAAGACATTTTTATTTAATTTGACGACCACGAAATACTTCCTACTTTCCTCTATACCAGTGAAATGAGTAATACGTCCTACTACTCCTGGAAGAGGGCGACAGATAAATCATTGTCACCTAGTCGGGTTAATTATAACCATTATTAATCACAGTCATGTCTACAAATACATTATGTTACGCACTTACGAGTCACTAATAATTGTCTTTTCATGTTTATTTTAAAGTGGTTTTGTCTATGATAAAGGTAAAACATTTTCGATACTGTATTCTGGATAATCCAGCTATGTCGCTTTGCCCACGAATTCTGGAAAGTCTCGTGGTTTATTTGAAGTCTGGCTATTAAGGCAAGGATAATTATTTACTAACGGAGGCCTAGTTACGTCGATGTATCGTCTCACAAAAAGTGCGTCGTCTAGATAGGATTGGACTCTATGGAAGTTAATAGGATGGTTAAGACACAATTGTGATTGACACAACTAATCAAATATTTCATAATTATAAATCTCCATAAAGAGGATACTTACCCCCTTCTAAACAAAATAACAAATTAAAATGAAAAAACCGCGTGATGACTAAGAACTATCCTATCGATTAAATACAGATCTAAATTTCGTTTCGTTTTGTTGTGAGGTTTTTTGGGGGTATTTTTTTTTTTTTTTTAAACAAAAGTATTTTGAACCATTTTCAACTTTAAAAAAAAGAAATAAAAAGAAACGAAATTATGATTTGTGTATAAGAGACTGAGGAATGTCTTAGACCAATCGGGGCCTAAAATTACTAAATCGTGATTAAAGAAATACACATTTTGAGCATCATTTGTCAAAAAAAAAGAAATAAAAAGAAACGAAATTATGATTTGTGTTTAAATGAGACTGAGGAATGTCTTAGACCAATCGGGGCCTAAAATTACTAAATCGTGATTAAAGAAATACACATTTTGAGCATCATTTCTCAAAAAAAAAAGAAATAAAAAGAAACGAAATTATGATTTGTGTTTAAATGAGACTGAGGAATGTCTTAGACCAATCGGGGCCTAAAATTACTAAATCGTGATTAAAGAAATACACATTTTGAGCATCATTTCTCCAAAAAAAATTTTTTTTTTACAAAATTGTTTTATAACTCAGAAATATATTAAGATAGGAATCTCTAATTTCAAAATCGTGATTGAAGACCGACAACAGGACACTATCAAAGAACCATCATTATTGGCTGACTCATAAGCAACTATGTCATTTTAAAATACAAATCTCAAATTTCAACATCGTGATAGTCAAAAATGACAGCGAACGAGGATCCTCAATACTATATTTAGTGATTTATGAAGTAAAAGTAAACACGATGATCGTCGATTTATGTTAAAACAAAAGTTTTGATCTCATTTTATTTCGATTAGTGATAGTACCAGCTGTATACATTAATCAGTGAATTCGGTGACCGTAGGAAACCCTCTCGCAAAACAGAACAGCTAGGCAAGACGTCATAGCAGCCATCTTGGAATTGTGACATCGTATCAAAAATCGAAGCCATTCCGTCAATCGATGAGCTATTGTTGATCGTACCCAAATTGACGGAGCCTAAGGTTTTTGTTTTTTTTTGTTTTTTTTTTAAGAGCATCGTTCAAAGAAGACGAAGGCGAACAAGATTACAAAGCAAACAGGATCCGAATCAAAGATGACCGAAATGTTGTGTTTTAATTTCTTTATCAAGTTATCTGTTCAGTTCTGCAAAGTAATCAGAAGTAGATCTGGGTAGGCAGGCTACTACTGATATTAGTTTCGTGTTTTACTTCAAATGAAATGAAATGAGGTTTAACGTCCTACTTTCTGCACCGATTGGGCTAATGAAGACGGGCATAACGCCTGGAAAAGTTTGAGATAAATTTCTTTTGATGATATTTGAAACATTTCAAACAAATCAATGTATTACATGACATTGTAATAAATTCTCAATATCGGTATTTCAAAATATTTCAGGTATGTTATATTAAATCTAAAATGTCGATTTAGGTTTTGTTACCCAGTTGAAATAAATGGCTTCATAATATAATCGTGTGTATATCTTCTAGTAAATAGTTACTGACACTGTTAACATAGACTGTTAAGATTAACACTCAACTTTAGAACAGCTACGTTTAACGTTTAACACCGGAACCTGCTGGACCTATGAAGACGAGCATACGCCATGCAGGGTATTTTGCCAGGATGGCGGCGCTACGGCTTACGGCTTACGTCTTTCAAATTCCAACTGTCAGGAGTACTTTTACATTCACGCCAATGTGTACTTGGGGGAATCTCGTTTTCTTGACTCACCTAACGACAAAGCGTACAGGCCCGACGGCCCTAAACTGTGAGATTTTTGTAGAGAATCTAGACGCCGTATCGCACGACCATTTTGCACCCAGCCCAACCTTTCAATTAACAATTAAGTTAGACTTCAATAATAGATGGTGGAATCACAAAATCCGCTTGACCCCCTTTAATTAAGTCGGACTTCAATAATCGAAAGTGACCTCTAAAATCACAAAGTCATCTAATCGAAAGTAAAAACATCTTTATAAATAAACCTAGACCTGTGTAGAGTGTATATTTTCTAAAGTAGAATGTTTTAATTTCATTTTTTTTTTATTATTATGGTGATTACATGGTACTGGTATTTCATATTAGCTGCATGTTTAAAGTTGTATTTAAATTAAAAGTCAGAATCTAGCAAGTAGGTAGGTCGAGAAGACCCTCCGCGGAATTTTGAAGCCCGGATTCCACATACCTAGCTTAAAGGAGGTAAATCGCTAATATTTGGGACCTGGAAATTGACACAAATGGATCGCAACGCATACAATAATGTAATATGAATGTATATAAATTGATTTACATTCAA